ATGTTGTGGTAATACATGTGAACTTGGCCATTTACGTTCTCAGATTATTGTAAACAGTTGTACCACTACTCAGCTATCTATGTATTCTGCTGTCTTTCTTCAAAAACTATTTTCATTCCTACCCCACCAAACCCCCATCATTACCCACCCCCACCCAACAGAGGTAAATGGTCTTCCCTACCCATCTTCTTTCCTTTAAAATGCAACAATATATCTGAACTGTTTCTGAAAATAGAAAGTAAATTACAATAACTGAATGTTAACAGCTTCATGATAACTATAATATGTAGGTACAATAGTAATTTTAACACGTTTTAAATTAATACCTGAACTCATATAAACATGATCTAATATTGTATTGCCTTCTGTAGTACTCTCTGTCACACACTGTTTGAACCCAAAGTCTTGAAAACAATCATTAATAGAACTATGTCCTTCTAATAGATTTTGATTGAAATCTCCCATAATAATATAATGATAACCAGACTCTTGTAACTCAGTCAACAATCTTTCTAATTGAGGCATAAACAATTCTAATCTATATCTTGGTGGTCTATAAATAACAATTACAGAAATATTTTTATCTGGAATATTACAAGCAACATGTTCTATATTTAATTGTCCTAACCTTATTATATTACAAGCTTTATTCTTACTATAATATATTCCTACACCACCATGGTCTTTTTCTTTAAGATTTTTAAAATTAGCACTATCATCATAGCTATTGTGACGAGGTTGATTATAAAATATAAAATTATCAAATTGTACTTTAGCAGGGTTCCTTACATTTCGTAACCAAGTCTCTGTCAAACATATCAAATCAGAATTTATAAATCTTTTGTCATGTTTTAAATCTTCTAAATGTGTAGTAAGTCCTTGAACATTAAATAAGATAATATTATAACTATTAGGTTTAGTATGTTCTTCAGGTTGTAAAAATCTTGGCATTTCATTTAGAGCAGATTCAATCTTTTCATCACAAAATATAGCTTTCTCATTAAAATCTTGTATAGTCAATCCTTCTAATGTTTTAACTCGACTTAATGCAACATATGCTTGACCTGTTT